GGGGGGGGGGGGGGCGGGAGGGAGGGAGGGAGGGAGGGAGGGAGGGAGGAGAGGTGGTGCTCAGAGCTGCAACGGCCCCTTGCAGGAGCTACGTGTGTACAGGGGGCAGGAGATCGACCTACATCGACATCTGTAGAAAAAAAACAGAGCCGCTCTCGTTTGCCGCTTTGCCTTGACCGTGTTCACCGAAATCATCTCATGGTGCAGTACTGGCACGCATTCCTAAAAGAATAGTCGCGGTGTCGGCGTACATTGGTCTTCACACTTGGTGAGCGTATATTCGTGGATGAAGGCCATCTATGCCAAGGCAACGAAAAGCATCGTACGCTGTGCTTCGCAAAAGTCGAGACGGAGTAGGGAGGAGGGTGATGCCCACGCATGCATGACGCTGTTGACGAAAAGCATCGTACGCTTATGCTTTGTAAAGGTTGAGACGGAAGAGGGAGGAGGGTGATGCCCACGCATGCATGACGCTGTTCGCGCAATCGAGACGTCTAGCCGCCAAGTCGTACGAAACACAACACTTGGGCCTTAAAGCGTCGACAGAAAAATAAGTGGGTGGAAAAGAGATATAAAAGAGAGGTCTCACACGTGTCAAGCTTAGGGCGGCAGATCCACATCAGCACCTCTCGGCAAAAAGGTGCTCACGATGCCCAACGCGGCAAGGTAAAAGAAGAGCCCGTCATTACGGGCAACGGAACAGACGAACACAACACAGTACACATAGAAAAACGGAGTGGGGGGGTTCTAAGCAGTTGTTGCCTATATAAGTGTTCGTATGGCCAATAAAAGAGTACACCACCGCGACGCCTGTCGACAAGAAAACAAAAAAACGCCTCCGTAGTTCCACGGGGGTCATGCATCGTCCCGCCATTGTGCGCAAAAAGCGATGCTCAAAACCCGGCTAGAGAAACACACGGTTCTTCCAGCGAACCGGCTGTGTTGTGGAAACCCGTGGGGCTGTTGTTGGGAGATGGTAACAAATAGTGCCGCCGCGTCAGGTCAGCGTTATAGAGCAGCCTTGCTGCAGCAGTGCAAAAGCCGGAAAACATAACACAACAATTGAAACAAAAAAAAAAAGCGATGCCGCACAATTGATTGACGGGAAGGGCCCGGTGCGATACAAACTCCTAATTTTCACTCACCACGGGGGGAATCATCTCTTTCAAGTTGTACCACGGCGTCTTCTTGGCGTAGAGCGCCATGTACACCGAGACCACGTAGCACAGGACGGTGATGCACGCGAGAACCGCAGCCGTCCGCAAAGGGGAGGGAACCCTGGTGTGCGTGCGTGTGCGTGTGCGTGTGTGTGTGTGTGTGTGTGTGTGTGTTTTGTTTGTTGCGAGCAACCGGAGGGGGGGCTCGGGAGGAAAAGGAGAACAGGCGGGCAAGCGGGGTACGCAGGAGGAGGGGAGGAAAGAGGCGGTTTTACTCGTGCTCGAGCGCTATTATTTAGTAGGACGCTGCAACATAGGAGCACAACACGTACCACGGCACATGGCGATAACGCAGAGAGAGCGAAAGGGGAGCAAAACAAAACAAAAAATGAACGGTTCTTTTGGCGAGAACAAAATCGAGATTACGAGGACAGGTCTGAACAATCCCACGAAGAGCGGGATCGTACATAGGCATATACTTTTTTTGTTGTTGTGTGGGCTGTGACGGGAAGTGCACTAGGTAATCCGGCCGAAATGGCAAAAAACAAACAAAAAAAAGCACTCAAATCAGGCGCCGATCTGAACTTGCGCGACAGCAGTATCAAATGCAATCCGTATGCATACCCCCTCTCGGTTGTCGCTCATCCGTGCAATACCGGACACGCGTTCGCAACTCCCTTTTCCAACCGCTTCACAGCTTTTCTTCCTCGTTTTCACCATTGCCATGTCTTGCTTGCCACGGGTCACGTTGCATGGTAGTCCGTCACGCTCTGATTGGTCAAAACTCCCTGTCTGGTGAGCGACGTCAGCTCATCGTGGATGACTTCAAAATCTAATGCTTTTTACCTGCAAATGAGCTACAGTTGCACACAAAAATCACATTATTTTGCGTTGACTTCCATATTATCATGTGTACATTTACCTTTTCCAACTCGCTGCGTAGTACACGCCTAGGATGGCCGCGGACATGAAGAGGTACAAGACCGCCACCACCATACCCTCGTACCAGAACTGGTCTCTCCCCCCCGCGCTCATCATCGCCGTTGCCCCGTCCTGTTTGGTTTAAGAGCAGAGTCGGTTTTAAGAGCAGAAACGAGGGCGGGACGAGGCGGGAATGTAAGACACCAGAGCGGGCCTCAGAAGGAGAGAGGCAAGAGAGAAAAAATAACGCGTTTTTTTGTTGGACTCTCCGCGCACGGCGCCTGTTGATTGGCCATCCCCTTTTGCTGCTGCTGCTGCTGCTGCTGCTGCTTGCGGAAGGATCATCATCATCATCAGCAGCATCATCAGCATCTGCAGCAGCATCAGCATCAGCATCAGCAGCATCAGCAGCATCAGCAGTATCATCATCAGGAGCAGCAACGCAAGCGTTCCCCTCGTTTCGCGAGCTCTTCTCGCCGTGTTGTTGTTGCTGCTGCGTGGGGGCCACGAGAAGAGAGAGCGCCCGCTGATGCACGCGGGCGGGAAACCTCGTCCGATGGAACTTCGCGACTTATCACCAAAAAAAGGTGCACGGTATGCGATGGACGGATGCATGGATCCGGCTTACGCCACTCGGAAAACGGCGTGGAAACCCATACCAGCGGGGCCCCTCGCCGGTTCCGAAATACACGGCACTGTAGATACTCTCCTTTGACAGGGCCGGGCCGCCCGCCCTACTCACGGGTTAGCGACGAACCAAGATCAAAAGTTCCACACGAACCTCCACAATTTAGAACATAGGACGATTGTTGCAAAAAATTCCGACTGGAAAATCTCTCGAAAGCGAGTGAAGGTTAAGGTTTCCACCTCTGCTAAATAATGCCGATGAGCACATGTAACCTTTGCCACCTTTGTAATATTGCCAATGATAATGAGTATAAACAGCTGGGCATTAGACTGGGACACCAACTTGAACGTGTTGTCTGGAACCTCTGGGACCATCACCTGGTGGTAGCCGTGTGTCTTAGGGTTGCGGATGATGCAGTAGATCATGCCCCCGACGCCGGTCATGTAGCACCCCAGGGACACCGTGAACCAGAGCCCCTTGTGCCGCACCGTTGTCATCACCTGCGGCAAAAGACGTGCCAGACGGTATAACGTGGTTGCTGCTGCTGCTGCTGCTGCGGCTGCTGCTGCAGCACGGAGAGGGTTGTGGTCGAGAGAGGGATGTGGTTGTGAACCGGACTCGCCCACCCTCGGCATGTTTCTCCCTATCCATAGACACTTCTTGCAACCACTGCTGCTGCTGCTGCTGCTGATGTCGTCGTCGTCGTCGTCGTCGTCATTGTTGTTGTTGTTTCTAAATACTGCTAAAGCTGCTGCAGCTCGCTACCCCTTCTCTCTCCCCAACCTACCGCCACCACGACAAATTGTGCAAAATGTGCAAAAGCTTCCGCCGCTCACTCTCTCACTCACCCTCGACGGCACGTCCGCGAGGAAGTGTGCGGCGACTCCTAGGATAGCGCCGAGGAGCAACGCGGCCGGCAGCAGCCCCGACGAGTCAGCAACGATCACAACCTGTCGGGGATGATACGCATATGTACATGACACGTTTTGGTTTTCGCCGGCACCACGTGGTACATGAGAACCGACCAATCGGAAGCAAGCCCCGCCGGCGTGCGGAGGAACCTCATCTACAGTAGCAGGCGCCCGCACCTTACGGTGTAGTTCGGTCGAGGGTGGGGGTTCTTACTGTATTCCTAGGGTCATGCTGAACGAATGGTCGCCACATAGGTTTTAGTGTAGGGGTTCTCAACTAACCGATCTCACAGCAGTTGGTGCTCAAGTTCTTAGTTTTTCGAAGCTATATCGATTTCTTGATTGCCGAGTTCTTTACGTGCGGGCGCAAGCTTTATTCGTCTCCCCAAGTCTTCGTTCTCGAGTCGACGAAGGAAGGGAGCTACACCAACAAGGCGGGGGCCCGGTCAGGAGGGAGGCTGCAGGGACAGAGAGCGAGCGAGTGAGTGAGTGAGTGGAGCGCACGTCTGTCTCCAAAAGGGTACCACCACAGAGCTTACTCTCACACACAAAAAAACTCAAAAAAATCTCCATGTCCAAGCCGCTCGTTTAAAAAACAGGGCTCATGCGCAGAAGAAGAAGAAGCAGCAGCAGAGCAAGGACCACCGCGGCACCTTCCTTTTGACGTGACCTACACGCATGGCACGCCATACCTACTGCTGGACACCAATACATCATTCCCCGCTCGACTTTGACAAAACTTTCGGCCCTATGTTGAGTTACGTTGAGTGCTACAGCGCGGGGGGGTGGGCAGTCGCAGGGGGGGGGGGGGGGGG